TGATATAATTGTAGAAGATCTGGAATATACAATAGTTGTTATCAGGTTGTCTGGAAAATAATGCAGGTTTTTGCAATTGTTTATCTTTCCTGTACATTTTTAGCAACAAAAATATTTTGAATTACACTGGTTATATATCATTTTGAAGCTCTATTTTAGCTCTATATTTCTATAATAATCATTTTCTTCCAAAATTATTTTAAAAATATTTACTAGGTATTTATTTTTGTTTAGATGTCAAAAGGGATTTTCTGCAAATTTACGTTTATGAGTACAAACTAGGTCACAGCGCAGCACAAATGGCTCAAAATGTCAGCGAAGTATGGGGCAAGAAAAGTGTTAATAAATCTACAGTTCAACGATGGTACAGTCAAAAGTCGTTAATTCGGACACCCATAATCCGGAATGATCTATAATCCGGACCTCAAAGCTAAAAACTTTCTGCGCATGCCGCGTTGGCACATGCGCACAGGCACATTATGCGTGCGCGTAAGACCTTGACTACTGCGCATATGCGTGTGCGCAAGTGCAGAATACGCTTTCGCCTGCGCGTTTAATGTATAATGGACGGTGTCAGCTAAAATTATCTAATTATCTATTTCAGTTAATGTTAATGATTGCGCTGTTCCTTAATCTTTGAATTGGATCTCGCTTATTATTTTTTGCAGACTGTAAGAGCAATTTTATAAAAGTAAACTTGAACTTTCGATTATGTCAAATAGAATTTCCGATGCTGGAACTTCCAAAGGATCTACAAAACGAAAGTATGTTTCGATGTCCAACAAACAAAAAGTGGAATTGCTACAAAAAATGGATAAAGACATGAAGACTGTGACAGAGAGGTTAGTGAAAATGAAAAAATTTTGATTGACAAGTTATCGGTATTCTCGGCACAGCAATTAACGGAACTTGAACAGCGGGACTTTGTAACAGAACAAGAGATTATGTCTGTTTATAGAATTAAAGAGAAAGTATTATCACATAAAATGAAGCAACTTAAACAACTTACATTGAAAGAAATGTTTAATAAAGTAAAGAAATAAATATTAAGCTTTTTTTTTGTAAATTTTGATACCCTTTAGATCATAATTGTTCTTTATTTCATAAATTACGGTTTCATATTTTTAATTTTAGAATTTCTGCATGCCATCTTACGAGATTTAAACTGATGATCTATAATCCGGAAAAACTGATAATCCGGAATTGCCGAAGTCCCTACGAGTCCGGATTAACGACTTTTGACTGTACCAATAGTTTCGTGGTGGAGAATTTGACCTAGAAGATCAAGAGCGCAGTGGATGCTCTTTAGCTGTTGACGACGATGATTTGAAGACTTGAGTTGAAACAAACCCTTTTCAAAACTGTTCGAGAGCTTGGTGTAAGCTAAACAACGATTTCACTTGAATCGAATAGGTCAAAGAAGCTCGATAAGTGGGTGCCTCGCGAATTGAATGAAAATTTTAAAAAATCACCGTGTTGAAATGTCACCTGCCGCTACAAAATTGATCCTTTTCTTGATAGAATTGTTACGTGCGATGAAAAGTGGATTCTCTTTAACAACTGGCGACATTTGGCTCAGTGGTTGGACCGTGCTCAGACACCACAACACTTTCCAAAGCCAAATTTGCACTAAAAGAAAATTATGGTGACTGTTTGGAATTTTGGAATTATGATTCAGCTACAGCTGAGTGACTAATTGTAGCAAAAATCAAGGGAAATTTAATTACATCATATGCTGTACAAGCACAGTGAGTGGCCCTGTGTTCTCGCTTGATGCACGGCTGAAGCTCAGTTGCTTGTTGGATGCTGTCAGGAATGGTTGTACAGTTTGTGAATTTTGTTTCACCGAAATTAATAAAATTTTGAAATAATTCAAATAAAAAATTTACTGAAACAGAGAAGAGAGTGAGTGAGGAAGAAAAGAATGAGCAAGCAAATAAGTTGTGCAGAAAACAAGCAAAACACTACGATGAAAAGAAGACAAAAAATGATTTCAATATCGTAGATTATTTTCAAATAAACAAAGGAGCTTTAACTTCACATTCATCCAGTTCATTATCATTAGATGAGGCATTTATCAGATTGATCACACAATATTATATTACAGGTAAATTATTATAGGTGAATATTTATACAAAATATCTTATGGATTACATGCTCAGATATGTTTGCAGAGTTTGCAATAGGCTATGGTTTATGAAAGATTTGACTGCGGTGAATATGAACAGTAAATTCACTGCTGTATATCACAAGGAATTTCCTGACAAAGATTTGTGTGGTTCTTACAAGCAATCGCTGTGCAACTACAAAATATCGGTGTTATCCAAGAGTTATTGGTTCACATATCCAGATCGTCCCGGTTGGCCACAGTTTGATCCAAAAAAGGAACATCTGATATCGCCTCATTTCCCATTAACATAAATGTGTGGATTGTGAGTAGAAGCATATACAACACTTGAGCAAGTGATCAACGTGCCAGTTGAAGTTCATACAATGGTTACATTTTTGCCCCAGTTGATGCTCAAAATGGTAACATCTTTGCCATTTCATACAATGGCAAAGATGATGATGGTGATGATTTGGATGATGATCAAGCATTTAATGTTAACATACGGAAATGCTTGATATACATATCAAATGTTAACATACGGAAATGCTTGATATACAAATCAATCTACCTATCTGAGTAGTGTAGCAAAACTGTTGTTAAGACTTGATTAGAAGTTTTACAAAATCAGCCACTTCATAAATATTTCTAAATTATGAGCAACTGGAGTGAGCTGAATAGTTACGCTTGTTTATAGATGTTACATTCACACGAAATATTACTACACAGTTATTTACATTTGTTACTTTTCATTTCATCATCCTATATTGAATAATATAGTTACAAATGGAAATTGCATATAAAATTTTTCACCCACACATGTGTATATTAAGAAAATTGTGTGTGGGGGGGGGGGGAATTCCCAAGTCAAAAAAAAAAAAAAAAAAACCCAGTAAGTCTGGGCATTAAATCTCATTAAATCTCAGTTGCCATTTGAAACAGACAGCTTGTCATCTTTTTAATATTGCCAATATATATATATTTAAAAATATTAATTTTTAAAACAAATAATTTTAGAGCATATATATATTATATATATTTTTATGATTTCTTCCTTACTATTACACAGTATAGCTTCATATCAATTAACGATGAATTGACAGGTGTATTATTTGGGGAGAGGCGAATGAATAGGATCTTGATTATGGTAATCAACAGCTGGTGCACATTTGGCTGTCAACCCCTAATCAGCATTGGCTCCTTTAAAATTCCAATGACCCGCCCCCTCCAGAGTCAATATTACCCCAATATAAACATGGGAGTATACTGTATATGTACTGCATATAACTGTTACTGTACACAAGAGTATCTCAGAGGTAAGCCCCTATTGGATCTTTTTTTCAAAAAAATTCAAGTCTGTTAATGTTTATCATATTTTATAATGCGTTAAAGTACACTAAATTTCATTTTTCTGTAGACAGAGTATTATCAAACTGAAACTTCTATTTTGTGCTTTTTTTATTCCTTTTCAGAATCCTTTAATAATAAAAACAGGAGAATGTATTTTTGTTGCGATATGCCATATTGGAGGAGTAAAACTGAATGAAGTAAGAGGAACATTCCAATGAAAATTTAACAAAGTCACACTTACAGGCAAAGCAGTTCACAAACCATGTTAACAAATATAAAACAGCCGGTTCCGTATATGACGAGATGAGAAGATATATGCCAATGATACACACGAAGAAAACCAACCAAATAATTCATAATTGTCCTAACAAATTTCATAACTGAAGCAGCAACTTCAATTGAGGATGCCAGTTTGCAGTTCATCAAACACAAGAGAAATAGGCACTTACTTTTAGGACACCATGTATTTATTCTAGTGTACTGTCATATGTACCACATGCCATTAATCAGGAGTCTACTACTTTTTAGAAAAAAAGCTTGGAAACAAATTTATAATTTTATTAAGGCAGCCAAATAACTTTTCACATCAACGAGAACAAATTTTTCACAACACCAATTCATGGATATGAAAAAAAAATTTTGTTGTATTATTCAATTATACAAACAAATGTTTCACCATAACAAACAATTCATGGATGAAATTTTTTTTTTACCAAATTCATGGATATGAACAAATTTTTCACCAATTCATGAATATATAATCATATTTTCAGCACACCAATTGAAAGATACAAACAAATTATTCATCATATCAATTCATGGATATGAAAAAAAATTATTCAACATATCACTTTGTGGATGTGAACAAATTTTTCATATAATGAATTCATGGATATGAACAAATTTTTCATCACATTAAGTCATAGTTAGGAAAAATATTTTCACCATATCAATTCATGAATATGAATTTTTTTTTTACCATTTTACAATATAATTTAAATTTTCATCATACCAATTCATGGACGGGAACAAATATTTCATCATACCAGTTCATGGACAGAAACAATTTTTCCCCTCTTCGTGGATACCATATTTTTCATGTTATCAATTCATGGATCCGAATAAATGTGTTATGAAATCAATTCATGCATATGGGGCAAATTTTTCATCATATCAATTTGTGGATATGAATAAATTTTTCATCATATGAATTCCTGAATATGAACAAATTTTTTACCAATTCAGAATATAACGAATTTTTCATCGTAGTAATTCATGATTAGGAACAAATTTTTCATCGTATCAGTTTATGGCTAGGAACAAATTTTTCATCACATCAATTCATGAATACGAAGAAATATTTTGCCAATTGATAATACAACCAAATTTTTCACCATTATTTATGGTCAAGAACAAATTTTTCACCATACTAGTTTATCGACATACACAAATTTTTCACCATACTTTACAGAACTTGAAAAAGTTTTCCACTACAACAATTTATAGTCAAAACCACAGCTTTCAGCAGTATAGCAATACCTACCATAAATTACTAAATCCACCAGGGAGTCTGCAAATTAATTGCAGAGTCTTTCAGCTACTGTGAAATTTTCCTTTCCGCACATTAAATAATATTTTTGTAACTGTTGGCTACGCCATTCGCTTTTGTCCAGAATGCTCACTCCGACAACGATTATTCGAACTAAACATGCAGTCACCGAAACAAAAGCCGAAAATTAACATAAAAGCGCACACGGTAAACAGCATAAATTTCTCCAGCAGCCGGGGAAATGGAAATAATCCTACTCCATCACACACACACACACACCCTGGAAAAAAAATGACGATAATGAGAAGGGAAGAAGAACCAAGCAAGCAGCTAAAAAGAACCCCCGAGCACCATTTTGGAAATAGGCAGCAAAGTACAAACCCCAGAATGTGTCAATCGATGCATTTTCCGTTTGCTCCTACAGCCGGGTTTTAAAAATGAGCACGTTAAAAAAGAAATAAGAAAAGAAAGAAAGAAAAAAAAAAGAGGGAGAGACGCCAGTAGTAATATCGCGAAGAGGAAAAAAAGGAGGGTTTCATCAATTCACACGCCACGTACTTTTAACAGCACAGCTACACCGACACAGCCAGCCGTAGATTCGTAAGATGGCCTAAGAGCTACCACAACACTAACCATACAAACCGATTACTACAACAGCAGGGGCAATGACCCGCTAACTTTTTCTCATTCTTGAGTAATATACATCTGAATGCCTCTTCGAAGATTTTTGCGTCGAAGGTACGAGACTCCTTTTGCTGCGCCAGGGAAGAATGACGGGATTTAATTGGCGTCTCGCAAACTAAAACCTGTCTGTGGCTTTAAAACTGAAATAGCCTCACAAACTACTTCGATAATAAACTAGCCGTTTTCGCGCGCAGCCGCCTAAAATAATCTCCATCTCTACAATTAAATTATAAAGAACGTCACACAGTGAAAAAACGATGACACCTAGAGCCATCAATTTTGAATACACGTAGTCCACTACATAGACACCTAGATGCCAGAATTTCGAATCTGTTTTTTCTTTATTTACTTCATATTTTGTGCGATTTTAATGAATTTTTTATTATAAATTTAGCGGTTTAGAAGCGATCAGCGACAACACTGTTTGAAATGAAACTTTTTTATCTCTGGAGCACGAGGCTGTTGCCATTCGAGAAAATGTAAGATATTTATCCTTCAATTTTAATCAGCAAACTCAATAATCAACTATTTAAAAGCAACGTGTTGCCACTACAGCAAATAAAATACTTTTTTACCTTGCACGCGCCACGGTGTTGCCAGTAAATAATGCGTAAGATAGTTTACATTTAAAACAAACCAGACGAACGAAAACAAAAAATTTAATTCTTAAAAATATTTTTTAAACTTTTTTTATCTCATCGATTTATATTAAAATGCATTTAAATCACAAGATTTTTATTAGAAATACAAAACATTTTCATGAAATGACACTATCAGGACTCATTAAAATTATTACATATTTTTTTCATTTTTATGATACTTATTTTACGCACTCAAGCGGATAGTTATAAAAAAATATATGAAATAGTTTTAATGAGTCACGCTAGCAATTAGTAACAACACAGAGGAAGTATTGCGCTGATTGCTTTTAAATCACTTACTCTGATTATAGATAAGAGACAGATCGAATTCGAAAAAATAAATATATAAAAAAACACTTTATGTTTTCCCGAATGGCAGCACGCCTAAATTAAAAACATTTTTATTTCAATCAGTGACAACACATTCCTTTTATATCGCCAAATATTTATGATTAAATCTGAAACATAAATATCTTAAGCTTTGACGAATGGGAACACGCTGATTTAATCCCTTATCATTAAGTTCTAATAAAACATAAAATAATTTCAGATTTTACATTACATCCAAAGGGGCTTTTTTTAACGTTTCGTGTGTTACCTTTATTTATTAAATATCATGTTCTTCGCACTTAAACCATAAAATTTAATTCAACAGCAATATCGCAAAATAATTTTAAAATGAGCATACCTTTAGAATTTCCGATACACAGTCTCGCGCACTGGACATAATTTTTCTTTCGTACAGTGTTGCCATTCCTCGCTTTGAAATCGTTAAGTTTGTTAATAAAAAATTCTTTAATGTCTAGCAAAAAATATGAAATAGATAATAAAACAAAATTCCGAATTGGGTCATCCAGATCCCGATATTTGGTGGAACCGTACGTTATTCAAAATTTGATGGCTCTAGGTACCGTCGTTTTATCATACTGTGAGAAACACATATTTACATTTATGCAGATTCTTCATTATTTAATTTCTTTAAATATAATGCAGGGCTGTAATATTTGGTGGCAACAGTTTGAAAAGTGAATGAACGCAAAATGCCAAGTAGAATAGCGAAAAATTTTATAGGATACTAAATGAATACACACTTCAACTAACATGGGAACGTTCTATATCTCCTGTGTATTTGAAAAAAAAATATGTAGGTTCATTCGACAAAAGTTGTGAATGTTTTTAATGAGATATATCACCAATGAAACGCATTTTAATTTAAATCAATCAGATTCAAAAGTAGAAAGTACTATTTTTAAAGACTACATCTATTGCTTTCAAACAGCTTCAATTAAATTGTTAAACCATAACAGGGAGATTCGATCTGAAAGATAAATATTTACATTTTGCCGAATGGCAACAAACTCGAATGAAAAGTCAAAGAACGCAGTGAGAATGGACATTTAAATTTAATCAAGGCAAAATAACGTTTAATGACTAATTGCTCTTTTGGGCTAATAATCTCATTTTAAAATTATTTATAATCAGTTTCAGCTGAAACCAATGAAGGCATTGAGTTACGCATGATAATCTTCTGATTAACAAATCAGAAGGGGAAGAAATCAGCAGATAAAACTGCGACGCTAGGATATATAGAAATCATACCACTCCTGATTTTTCTAAAGCAATCAAAATCATGAAGGAATCATAATTTATCTGTAAAAAGCAGAAAAATATAAACGAAATACCATACTGTGTTGCAATTAGGTTAACAAACAGTTTTAAAATGCATTCTTAGACAGTGCCCTTGTTACTCTTTTTAACTATTAGCATTCATTCATTAGCAAATCACACGGAAACAGAACTTTATTTTTAAATTCCCTTCACTAATCAGAAATGTTTACGAAACTTATTATGACGATGAATCAGTATTGCAGAAGTATAAAATGTGTCGTACAGAAACAAAATTACAGAATTTCGATCAGTCATAATCAAAGTTTTCCCGTGTTTAAATTCGGTTATTCATTATCAATATTCAAATTCATTTATTCGTAATCAAAGTTTCCAGTGCTCAAATTCGAGTTCAATTATTAAGGATCAAAGCTTCTCGCGTTTTTAGATTCAATTACTTATAATCAACGTTTTCCTTGCTCAAATTCGGATTTTCATAATCAACGTCTCTCGAATTCAAATTCAATTAATCACAACCAAAATTCAAATTCAATTATTCTTAATCAAGTTCATGGCAAAATTTTATAAAAATGGGTATTACGATTATTCATTAATCCTACAGAACTAATAAGCATTTAAATAAACAAAAATTCATCACCAATTCAATCATTCCTAACCATATTTTTTTCTAAGATTCAAAATCAAATTTACTCGTCCATAATCAGTTTCCCATGATTTGTATTTAAAACCAAATTCTCATAATCAAAAGCCATCACAAAATTCAACTACTCATAATAACATTTGTTTTCTAAACGTCCGGCTTATATCTACTCAATCCAACTAGGACATTCATTTGAAGGGGGATTAAACGAATTGCCATTAAAAAAAATTCAATCACACATTTTCCCCACATTTCAACCAAATGCTTACTTTTTTATTCTCCCGACACCGTTATACGACCCATCTTTTTAGTAGCACAAAAATTTCGTCAAAAAAGTATTTTTTTTTAAAACCAAAGTATATTAAACACCAGTTTTATTTTGAAATCGAAAATAAAACAAGTTCTTTTACTTCCTTTTTATCAAAAATCCATCATTTCTGAACAGAATGAAATCTCAAGTTTAGTTCTCTGTTGTTGAGTGATTGGGGGAGGGAACGTTTCATTTGATAAATGGGGAAAAAAATGCTTATTCCATTAAAACATTTTTTTTTAAACTATCACACTCTCACAATGTATTCTTTTTAAAATACAGGAACAATTTTGCACTTCTTATTCAACAAAAGGCAGAAAAATAGTACACAGAATACCCCTTCCTTCTCTCTACACATATAACAAAAAGCATACGAATTCACTAGATTAAGCAAAAATTAATTCCACCAGCGTTTCTGAATTTCTGATCCTCCTAGATTTATAAAAAAAAAAAAAAAAAAAAAAAAAAAAAAAATTCCCAAATTAACTGTTTATATGACACTATATCAGAAAATCTCAAAGTTTGGAAATTACACATGTCAATCGCCTGTCCTTTTTCTCCAAGATTGCCATTTTAGGAAATTCATAACCAGTTAATCCTAGGAAATTCATAACCAGTTAATCCTATCATAACCAGTTAATCCTATCTAAGGACTTGCCACTCTTCTCATGACAACAAAACAAGGATTTAAGCATTATGACTGTGGTGCTTCTTATCAGCATGCATCTACAAAGAACACCTAAGCAAGAATCCATAGGCACATCCATCTAATTAAAGTGAACACTACCATTTATTTGATTTTTATTTATACGATGAAGACTAACCAAACACTAAAAGGCTCGAATTATTATAAACAAATATACATTTTCTTCTATTAACTTAAGTTAAAAGCCAGTCACCTAAAACAGTTAATATAAAAAAAAAGAGGTTTTTTTTTTTTTTTTTTTTTTTTTAATAATGTGAGTTTTGTGTGTTACCTTTATTTATTAAATATCATGTTCTTCGCACTTAAACCATCAAATTTAATTCAACAGCAATATCACAAAATAAATTTTAAATGAGCATATCCTTTAGAATTTCCGATACACAGTCTCTCACGCTGGAGATTATCCCCCCCCCCGGTACAGTGTTGTCACTGCTCGCTTTGAGATCGGTGAGTTTGTTAATAAAACATTCGTTAACGTTTTACAAAATATGAAATAGATAATAAAATAAATTCCAAATTGGGGCATCCAGATCACCATATTCGGTGGAAACGTACGTTATTCAAAATTGGATGGCTCTAGGTACCGTTGTTTTATCACAGTGCGAGAAACATACATACATTCATGCAGATTCTTTATTATCATTTAATTTGTTTAAATATAATACAGGGCTCTAACACTTCGTGGCAACAATTTGAAAAGTGAACCAACATTTCAAAGCAAAATGCCATAATGAAATTAGTAGTCCTTGAAACATTTAAATAACGCCACCGCCCTACGGCAAAAACTTCAAATATAGGTAAAAACATATTTTAAATGCTAAATGCCTATTGTAACCTGATGAACAATGACCAATAGTCTTTCGGGGCAAATTGCCCTTTTGGAGTAATAATGTATGTGTCATTATTTAAATCAATGATATTAAAAAATTGAAAAAATATTTTTAATATCTGCGTTTGTTGATTTTGAACTGCTTGATTTGTTAATCAATGAGAGACAGGTTAAATTTGGACATTAAATATCTTACGCTTTTACTAAATAGTAACGTATGGACGATAACAGTATTCTATTTCAGGAAGTGGCAACACATTACTTTTAAATAGCTGAGTTTGTTGATTAAAACTGAAACACAAATATTTTTCATTTTGTCGAATGGCGACAGTCTGGCACGCCAGAGATAAAAAAATGTTTTATTTCGAACAGTGTTGCCACTACTCGCTTTCAAAAGACTGTGTGTGTTCAAAATTGGATGGCTTTATCTGCCATCCTTTTCGTGCAATGCGCGCAATTAATATCGCACTTAATGCAAATGAACGACGATAAGATCTCTGAAGCGAAGGTTGAACAATTTAAACCTTTTTACACCTTTCACAGGCCATAGTTAAAAGCTAGAAACATTTATTAAAATTAATTATTTTTTATGTTTTTATGTAGTAATTCGTTCATTTCAATTAGTTCTTGAGCAAAACTGGTTTTTAGAAATAATATTCTAAGACGTTTCAAGCAACTTTCTATTTATTTTAAATTTCTTGAAGAGTGTAATACTTCTTTGGCGAAATGAAGCAACTCCAATGATGGAACACAGCAATAACTTTTATTTAACACTAAAAAATAAGGCGACATACAAACAAAAAAAGAAAACGTAATCTATATACTTATTTAAAAAAAAAAATAATTACATGCTTCGTGCGAGAAAATGCATGCAGCTCTCCAGCCTGCATTTCAATATTGCCAGTAATCTGTACATTATTTATTATTCATCTATTTCAAATGCACGAGAGATTAATAACGATATTAAAGCAACTCCAATGAGCAACAAGAGCAAATGCCAGAAATTAAAAATAATTAAATTTGTAGCATTTACTTGGTAACTGTTTAATGATAAGGCTACAGATTAGATAAGTGAATTGGCAATAAAAATTCACAATTAGATAAGTGAATTGGCAATAAAATTTCACAGGTGAAAAAATATGTGCATCTTTGCCTCCTAATAAAACATCTTTTCCTCCTAATCATTTTCTGAAAATTATTTTCAATGTGTGCACATATTTAACATCACACATCAATCAAAATAATTAAAAAATTGAGCAAGGTTTTTAAAAAAATTACGTTTAATAATTGTTAAAATGAAAAATTTGTTAAATATTAACACCTTATTTTCCATTGGTAATCAATACATCACCTTACTTAATTCTAATTTTTTAAATAAGTAACAATGATAAATGATAAACGTTTGTTTAGCTGCTGAAATTTCTTTTTGCTATCATAAATTATAAAAAAACACAATTCTACTCACAACTTTCACTAATACTAGCACAAAACAAAATGGAGATAAAAACTTAATAGATGAGAAAGAACAATGACGGATTTTAAAAAAAATAATATCTTAATGTAGGAATATTAAGACATTTAAATAATCGTCTGTCAATAAGAGGTAATATTGTTTATTCTTTAAATGCCTTTTTGAAACTGGCAACTGGAAGAGTTCTGAATTCTATAGTTGAATTTATATTGTTTTGTGTGTGTTGTGAAACAAAGTATTAATTTAAGTGTACATTTAATTTTATTAAAGTGTTTATTCATAAAATAAATATATCTTAATTAATGAAAATAAAAAAGCGGCATTAAAAATATACTTTACTTTATGAATACCTTTTGTAAATTGCCAACGACAAGGTTCAGAATTCTATATTTAGCGCACAAAAATGTTTACTGGTTCTGTTAATTTATTTGAGCATCGAACTCACATATACACAAAAAATCATTTCGATGATGCAAAAACAGAATTTTAAAAATCTAACTATTTCGCTATAACATCTTATATTTGAAAAGAAGACCAGAAAAAATGTGTGGACGCAAATATGTTCATGTTTACAAAGTGATAATTTTTTTTTTTTTTTCTTTTTTTAATTCTCTGTTCTATTTGCATTGGGAATGTAAACTGTATATGTATTTGCTCCGGTATCTTCCCCTGTAAAAACTGTCACTGCTTGGAGTTGTAAAAAAAGATTCAAAATTTTGGGTCCATTTTTTGGCTAATTTGGCATGTTTATTCACAAAGTTAAGACAAACTGTTAATGCACAGAAATACTATCTCAGTATATAAAAACACTGGAAAATATCAAAAAAGTTTGTTTTAATGATTCTTTATATTGAAACTCTGGACGACAACAATTTGTAAAGCAATTTAAATTAGAATCCTAAGTTTAAAACTTTTATTTCGGAAAAAAGGTAAACTGTTATTTTTATATATTTAAAATTGTGAATTTTAAAGGCACGAGTTTCATACTTTAGTTACTGTTTAATTTAGTTATTATTTATTGTTTGGTTATTAATTATTTTCACTTTAGTAATTACTAGCAGAAGTACCCGATACCAGTTAAGTTAGATGAGTAATGCATCTAACAGAGAGAATAATACCGCTGTAATCTTTCTCTAATAACGATGCAAAAATACGATTCACAATCATGCATTTTTCAATTTGATACGATATGGAAGCCCCATAAAAAAAAAAATTTCAACAGAAAAATAGGTAATTTTCACTCATTACATCAGCAATACTGCCATGCAGTTTTTAATGATTTTCATCTTTCTAGTCCAATGGTCGTAAAAGCTCAAGTTCCATCTAATATTTCACCTATACAGTGTTCCCTCGCCACTTCGCGCTTCATGTTTTGCGGCTTCAGTGCTTCGCAGGTTTTTCCAAAATATTCATGAAAGAAAAAAGAAAAAAAAAAAAAAAAAAAAAGAAGAAAAAAAAAAAAAAAAAGAAGAAAAAACAACCAAACAAAGAGATGAGCTGACTCAGAGTACAGTCTGTCTATCATAAGAAAACCTCTCGCCAGTTAGTCTACCCCTGTCTGTTGCCGTAGAAATGAGCCTCGACCCATTTTCGGTAGGGGTGTCTTGAAGACGAATGATAACTCTTTTCCCCTCAGCCAACAGTCACCAAAAGTAAAATAACAATAAAGCAACCCTTGGCTCGCCCCTATTTGAAATATACTAAGACTGTTGCTATAGCAACCGCCACCCGCCAGACACTGTGGCGGGGCTGTTCTTCTCGCAGACAGACAGTACATACCACGGGCTCTCACAAAAGCACGTGATTGGTCTCCGGTGCGACATCGACCAATGAGAGTACGAGAGGATTTATACTTGTGAGTTGATTGTCTGCGCATCACCGCAGCTTTACCTAGCATATTCTCTTGCATCTCGCCAGTCTTGTCCATGATGTTGACTGTCTCTCAAACTGTATTTAGTGTTGTGTTGGCAATATTTTTTTTTTGTTTTTTGTTTAAGCGATAACTTTTTTTATTAATTAAGCCCTTATGATGCCGCCTAAGCGCTGTGCCCCTGTGAAAGCTTCCTCCGGGGTGCCCAAGAGAAAGAAGATAATGACCATCAGCGAAAAAGTGGAACTTTTAGATATGATCAAAGAGGGCAGGAGTTATGCATCTGTGGCACGCCATTTCGGGGTGAACGAATCTACAGTGCGGTACATCAAGAAAGAAGAAGCAAACATCCGCAAAACTGCTTCAATAACCTTCAATAAAGAAGCGAAACGTGTGGTAACTCAGCTAATAACGGAATTGATAAAATTGGAAGCTGCACTGGCATTGTGGATTGCTGATTGCAGGAAAAAGACAGTGACTTTGGACACTAATATGATCAGGACAAAGGCCAAAGCTCTCTATGACAAAATCTTGCCCGATGACGACAATGAAGAGGCTGAAAAAGGTGCTGACGAACCTCGAGCCAGTAGCAGTGCTGCCAGGAGTGATTCGCCTCCTCGAGCACGAGGCTTTTCAGCCAGCAAAGGCTGGTTCGAAAAATTTCAAAAAAGATACGGCCTCAGAAACGTGCTTATGTATGGTGAGGCTTCCTCTGCTGACAATGATGCTGCTTGTCGTTACGTGGAGGAAGAGTTTCCTAATCTCATCAGTAAGGGAGGCTATCTCCCTAAACAAGTTTTCACAGTGGATGAAACATGCCTTTTTTGGAAGAGGATGCCTTCGCGTACATTTCTCTTCAAGGACGAAGTGAAGAGGCCAGGCTTCAAGGCTTACAAAGACCGTGTGACTGTCATCATGGCTGGCAATGCTGCAGGTTTTAAGCTTGAGCCAGGCCTTATTTATGAAGCCAAAAATCCACGGGCATTAAAAAACAAAAATACAGCTCTGTTGCCCGTGTTCTGGATGTACAACTTTAAGGTCTGGATAACGAAAGCTCTGACCCTTGAATGGTTCCTCCATTGCTTCATTCCCCAGGTGAAGTTGTATCTGGCTGAAAAGGGCCTCCCCTTTAAGGCCCTCCTCCTGATGGACTGTGCAGGAGGCCATGCAACAGACCTGCAATATGACGGTGTGCAGATAAGATTTTCTGCCCCCGAACAATTCCAATTCAGCCAATGGATCAAGGTGTTATCCGTGCCTTTGAGGCACTCTACACTCTCTCCACGATGGAGGGCCTCATTTCGGCAGTTGACGATGCCAATGACGAATTCATCTTGAAAGCATATTGGCCTAGTTACGACATTAAAGGACATGAAGAGTGAGACCATAAATTCTAGCTGGAAGAAATGGCCGAACGTGGTGCACGACTATCCAGGCTTCACCAGCACTCAGCGGTGAGGCTGGCTCACATTATAAGAAATGAAGGATTTGTCGACATGACAAAAGAAGACATCAGCGCCCTTATCGATTGCCACTCGGACCCACTGACCGATGAAGACCTCATTGAGATGACAAAGTCTGCAAGTGAGGAAGAAAACGAAGAGGAAGACGAAGAAGAAACTGAAAAGTGTGGCCTTACCCTGGAGAATCTGCAAAAATTGTGCAACACAGCAAGAGCGATGCAACAGTTTGCACAAGACATTGACGACAATATGGTTCGAGCTGTCGAGTTCAGCAATCGCGTTGACGGGTTATGTCCTTGTACAGGGGAATTTTGAAGGAAAAGAAAAAACAAAGACAATAACTACCCATCACCATGTTTCTCTCCAAAGTAAACCCCCGGCTTTACCGTCAGCGCCTCCAGCAGAAAAGTTTCCGAGTTAGCCTAAAGCTTCTACAAGTCAAGTAAGAGCCTCTCCTCCGCCACCAACACAAGACTCTTCGCCTCTCTCAGAAAGAAATGTTGATTAATGTTTATTACTGTATACGGTTTTGTAATTAACCTTATTAATTAGCACTGACACGTTTAAATAAATACGTATACTGTTGTAATTTTTGTCTTAAATGTGTAAAGTATAAATACTGTTTACATTTAAAACATTCTTGTACACGAAAATTCCTAGGGGCAAGTCCTACTTCGCGGTTTTTCAGCTTTCGCGGAAGATTTCTGGTCCCCAATAACCACAAAAAACGAGGGATCACTGTATTCAATTTAGTCCACTAAATGTGGCAAAAAATTTATCATAACTATTCCGAAATCAATAATAACACGAACAAACAAACATACAATCTTCTTTATATGTATAGAATTTGTAAAACGTACAATTTTTTTATCAACATACTGTACGATTTGAAAGCGAGCACTGGCAACACTTTTCAAAATAAAGCATTTTTATCTCCAAAGCGCGAGACTGTTGCCACTCGGAAAAATGAGAGCGAAAATTACCTTTTTTCCGAGTTCTTAATTAATACGTATCTCTGGTTTTAGCTACTCTTTTTTTTTTGGGGGGGGGGGGGGGGTACAGTTGACATCGAACCTTTTCTAGAACCCTTTCTGGGTAAAATTGTAAAAAAAGCTTGGTGACGATAGCTATAGTAGTGACTGAGTTCTTAGTGAACAAACAAATACACAGACTTTCTTCTTTATATATATATAGAGAGAGAGAGAGAGATTTCCGATGTTAGCAATGTCATCAACGTTATGGTTAATATTATTCAGGAAGGCGGAGAGAAAAGAATGTGTGGCGTGGTCGCACTCAGTTGATCAGTGTTTACATTTATAAGTAATGCTTTTGAAAATGAAAGTAATCAAAAGCAAAGACAGAGATCATTGAGCAGTCGAAAAGTCTCTGCATGTGCTGAGTTAACATAAAGATTGAGCAAGCACAAAAGCTTAGTTGTTTTTGAAAATGAAAAAAGCAAAAAAAAAAAAAAAAAAAAAAAAAAGAACAAAAACAAAAAAAAAAAAAAGAAAAAAAAAAAAAAAAAAAAAAAAAAAAAAAAAAAAAAAAAAAAAAAAAAAAAAAAACAAAAAAAAAAAATTGAGCATCGGAAAATGAGAGCGAAAATCCTTTTTCCGAGTTCTTATTAATACGTATCTCTGGTTTTAGCTACTCTTTTTTTTTGGGGGGGGGGGGCGTTGATGAACCTTTCTAGAACCCTTTCTGGGTAAAATTGTAAAAAAAGCTTGGTGACGATAGCTATAGTAGTGACTGAGTTCTTAGTGAACAAACAAATACACAGACTTTCTTCTTTATATATATATAGAGAGAGAGAGAGAGATTTCCGATGTTAGCAATGTCATCAACGTTATGGTTAATATTATTCAGGAAGGCGGAGAGAAAAGAATGTGTGGCGTGGTCGCACTCAGTTGATCAGTGTTTACATTTATAAGTAATGCTTTTGAAAATGAAAGTAATCAAAAGCAAAGACAGAGATCATTGAGCAGTCGAAAAGTCTCTGCATGTGCTGAGTTAACATAAAGATTGAGCAAGCACAAAAGCTTAGTTGTTTCCATGTGCTCGACAAAACACACCAACAGTATTAACACATCAAAAAAATTAGTTGAGACATATCAATGGGTTGAAAATAAGCGTTGAAATTTGGACAACATATAGGTACGATGGTTTGTCATTTTAATTTAAGGCATTACTCAATTTGTTACATTAAAATAATGATATATTTTTACATTATTATATTTTCACATTCAATTAAATGACTACTGTGATACCACGATGTATTCACTCACTTCCTGCATATATCGAAACAAAGGAAATGAAAATATAACGGACCCACAAAAACGAATTTCAGATTTCCATCTGTTTTGGGGCATATCTATTCACACAAAAGACAGATAGCAAGATTTTCAGTCTACTAAAAATGGCGGAAAAAATCAATGATTCCAGTTTAATTCAATGTAAACGGAAATGAAAATGAAAGCATTGAAAAACTATTAAACTATTGAAAAAGAGGAGAAATATGAAAGAATTCTTGCCAAAAAATCAAGAACTGAAAAAAAAAAAAAAAAAAGACGCCATACTAAGCAGATTATAACTCAAATTTGAGTACGTTAGACAATACATTTATTTGTTATACTTAACCCTTTAACTGTCAAGTTATTTTGATGATTTGGGTACACAAATTGTCAAATTTTTTAATTGGAAAAATCAAATGTTTAGTACAAAATAAAATATACTTAAGTACTTAAAAATTGATATTTTGAAGTACATGGGTAAAATTTTTAAAGCTTTGTTCAAAAATGTCACTCGGACGTGACATTAATACTCGGACGAGAAATTATTAAGAAATACTCGGACGTGACATTTTCGAACACCAGTGCTGTGCCCGAGATAATCTCGGGCATGACAGTTAAAAGGTTAAGAACATTATTTAATATCATTAATGATTTGCATTTATGTAGGCATCTTTATTTTAAATTAAGCAAAAAAGCAACCTTAGTTTTCGTAATTGTTTTCAGGGAATTCCCCCCCCCCTAATAAAAAAGAAAAAGTTTAGTAGAACCCCCTCCCCTCTCTTGAAAAGAAAAAGTTAAGCCCGATCGTGCTCAAAATCCCCGAAATTATTCAAAATCTATGTCAAATTAAGGTTGCTTTTTTTGTCTAATATTAAATTTATAACCTATTTTGAATTTATTCAGCGATTTTACTTTAAAAAAATCCAGTAAGCAATATGTTTTCGCACACAAACGGACGGTACTTCGGCAATTCGATAGCAATATCCAAATGAGAGCATTAAGCGGCGTTTCCTATATTATACTTTTTCACTTATTACGTTTCAGAAAAAGATAAAAATAAATCTGCTAGTTTCACATAAGTGAATAAAAACATGTAAAATACAACAATATTGGGCGATGTAGCGATTGTACGATTCTCAGAGCGAAAACATTATAAACGAAGACATAAATGCAGAATATTCATTTGCATGCGTTTCCGAGTTTCATTCGTTTCACAATTCATGTATCAGTTATGAATCGAAATATATTTGTTCTCTGTAGTGTTTGTTCAAATGGGAATATGGAAGAAAATTGGTACGTTATTTCAGAAAAAGTCCGATTTTGTGTCAAAATATCTATTAGAACAACGCTATACATAAATCTAATATATATCCTACGTCGCGCTTTCGAGGCATGGAAAACGCAAGTTAAATTTTGACAATCGCTCCAGTAGAATGAGAGGTACAAAACTGCCCCCTCCCCCGCTTTTTTAGTCCAAAGGGGCTTTGTCCCTGAAGGACTATTGTTTTCGTTTTGCGATTTTGCGTCGGACTCATAAACGTCGGTTCACTTTTCAAACTGTTGCCACAAAATGTTAAGAGTCCTGCATTATATTTGAAGAAATTAAATAATGAAAAATCTGCATAAATGATTGTCTATTTCTCGCATTGTGATAAAACAACGGTACCTCTAGAGCCATCGAATTTTGAATAACCTACGAAATCCACTGCGAATATGGGCATCTGGAAGCCCAAATTTGGAAATTTGTTTTATATAGATTTTATTTTTGTAAAACTTTAACGAATTTTTGATTTACAAACTCAATGCTTTAAAAGCGAGAAATGGCAACGTTATATAGAAAAAAAATACTTTTATCTCCAGCTCGCGAGACTGTGTATATCGGAAATTCTAACGATATGCTTAATTTAACATTATTTTGCAATATTGCTCTTGAACTGAATTTTATGGTTTAAGTGCAAAGAGCATGATATTTAATAAATAAAGGTAACACTCAAAACGTTAAAAAAACGCCCCTTTGGACGTAATTTAAAATCTGAAACATTTCAGATTTTTTTAATTTTTTTTTTTTTTTTTTTTTTTTTTTTTTTTGTGCGAGGTACATTTCTTAATATTCTGATTTAACATCTGATATTTCTGATTTAACAATTTTAGGCTTAAAAAAAACTGCATGTGGGGTAAAGAGAAGATAAACATACATTTAAACTCTGATTTTTAGGCTTTATGTAATTAGTTCCTATTGCTAAAAAGAGCATATTGTTTTGTGTTAACTCATGTAAAAACACTACAGAGGTACCGTTGTTTTATCAAAATGCGAGAAACATGCATACATTTATGCAGTTTCTTAATTATTTAATTTCTTTAAATATAATCCAGGGCGATAATATTTGGTGGCAGCAATTTGAAAAGTGAAACAACGCTTATCGTGAATCGACGCAAAATTGCCAAAACGAAATTAATAGTCCTTCTGGGGAAATTGCCCCTTTGGACTAATAATGCATGGTGATAGCGTTTGGTGGCAACAATTTAAAAAATTATTCAGATGGCTGCTGGCTGTAAGCTCAATTTCCCTAAATATCTTTTAAGA